TTTAAATTCCTCCAAATAACCTGAAATCATAAAATATAAAGCGCCCACTGGGAGCATGATAAAAACTAGTGAAGACATTTAAACACTAGGCAGAGAAAGAATGCAGAAGAAATTGATGTCTTAAATAAGTCATCTCTGGAAATGAAGGATATTACGTTAAATAAATGAGAGTCTTGAAAATGCTCCGCAAGAATTCACAACTTTTTAAAGGACTAGGAGAATGCGTCCTATCTCGGAAAACATTAAAAATAGGCAACTCAACATGAAATGCAAATTGTCGATTCCCTATGTCCCCGCACATATAGCGCCGTTAGACAAACTCATTAACTTTCCTCAGTTTGCTTCTGATTGAGGTGTTTCACCTAAGAGATAATTTAAATAACGCTTGTAAAAAAAGTAGGTTAAAGGGTTTTAAAAGCCATCAACACTATGATTATTGCTCTCTGAGGAAGGATGGTAAATGTTATGAAAAGTTAGAACTTGTATATTAACAATTTTATTTTAATCCACCTTCATTTTACAAGGTGAATAATTATGGAAATTTTTTTCCAGCGCCTGAAGATTCATTTTTCACAGAAATAGCAAGAAATCCTATTGACAAAACAAAAAGCAATCAAAAAGAACATGAGATGTTGAGGAGGAAAATAGGGGATTAAGGAAAGGGGGGGATTTTATTTGTAACAAGATTGGGAAAGAAATAGCATAGTGGTGGGGAAAACTGAACAGGAATTTAAATATCTACTAAAAGCTGCGTTCAACTCACATAAAAGCTTGCAAGCAGAACATTTTTAAGCCTGCTTCTCGAAACTTTATCTAGAAGCCCTTTTGGCAGAACTAGAAATGTTTTCACTAAAATAGTTGATTTACCAGGTTCAATTTTATGTAACAAAACTGAATAGAAAATAACACAAGGTGACTTTGGTTATTGTAGTTGGATATATTTTAAAGTTCAAAATCGTACATCTTATAAAGAGTTAAAGCAAGCCTCCAAGCATTATAACCACAACAGCACATTGCCCTGGTACACCCCCAAACCAGTAGCCAATGAGCTGGTGCACTGCAGGGTTCAGTTCAGGAGAACTAACAGAAGCTCCAAGCAGGAGCTTCCTGTTTTTAGTACCAGAAGTGAAGAGGCAGGAAGCGGCTCCTGGAAGACTCCGTAAAAAATTCAACCTATTACCATCATTACCTTATTTAACATTTAATCTCTGAATTGCACCTGCTTTTACACTGATAGAGCTCCCTATACATTTCACATTGTTCAGTGATTGGCTAAGAATGCTGTAGTTTAAAATAATTTTTGTCTTTGATCCCCAATGAGTTGATGCAACTTTTAGGTTCTACCAAAGCCAAAACCACTACGGGAAATGCAAAGGGGTTAAAATAAATGATACTATGGAGATTATTATTGTAAAACGTATACTCTTAATTCTTAGATTTAGCATTTTCAAGCTGTTGAGCCATGAGTGACACCAATAAATAGGAATCAGAAGCTGCACATCAGCCTAAACACCAGCAGATACTTTTATTACATTGTTTGTTTTCTTTGTTACAATTTTACTTTTTTTTTTTATTCTTCACTATTTGTTCATTTTGTTTTTGGTGAAGTCCACTGACCTTCTGATATAAATAATATTTTTATATAAATGAATGTATGTATTAGTGTACTGTTTCCAAACAGTTTGCTCATCATGAGAACCTGGTAATTAGAGTGAACTGCCTTTGCTTTTATGTCACTTTGTTTTGTATGTATTTGTATGTGAACAGATGGGAGATTTAAAATATTTTATTTTATTTTTAGACTTGAATTAAATTTTGTTATATTTATTTTTGAGTTTATTTTTTTACCATGTTTCCTGGTAGTACACCAATATAACTTTTTCTAATGCTAGACTCTGTTTTTGGAAACCTTTCTGGTTATGGTTCCTCGAGTGCTGTTGCATCCTGTTTGGCTTTATAAAGTGATTTACTGAATAATAAGTGACTGATAAGAAACTATTTAAACTTATATAAAAAATTCTAAATTTGAACTGCAGAGCAATTTAGGAAACAATGTGCACTATTATATTTGTTATATTTAGTAAATTGAATTGCATTAAGATAGCATTAAGATGGGACTCAGCCATTTGTTAAATTCAGGGAAGTCTACAGGATTTTATATTTGCTCTGAACACGATCACCTATATGTAATTCTACATATAATTTTAGTAGTAATGTCTGATCTAGAAAAAGAATGAGTACAAAAAGAAGGATACAAATGTCTTTTGCTGTTGTGCCAGCCATACAAAAGGTGTTATTGACATCCAGGCATCACGTTGCTTCCATTACAATATGTTACACTATGCATCATCTATGGCATTGCTCTGTGTTGCGTCTTCAGTGAAATCCAGAGAATGCGTTCATTGTTTAAGTCAGACACAAAACAATTACTGGCAACATGACACGACATTGGAGAGCCAAGCTCAAGTCATCAGGTCTCCATTAATGTAATTATTTATCTCTGTTATTCTAGACTGAAAAAAAAAAAAAAAAGAAGAAGAATCTGAATTAACGTATTTACGATTTGAGACTTTTATTCTGTTTGTGTAGAATACAGTTACAATGTTTCTGTAGATCACTCACCTGGTTTGGCTGCAGTTCAGTTACCTAGCGTCATTACATTGCAAGAAAGCTCTTGTCTTGCACATCACTCTGGATAACTGTGCTGACATCTAACCAAACTCATAATAGTCTTCACAGAGAAACCATTGTAACCGAGCAATTTGTTTCATCAATACTCAATGGATCACACACTGTAATTTAAACTACGGACGGTCTAGTTCAGGGGTAGGCAACCTACGGCACTAGTGCCATGCACGGCACTCGAGGTGTCTTTGCACGGCATTCAAGGCTGCTACAGCCAAACAGGCACTGGCCTATCAGGAGTCCCCGTGAAACTTCAGATATCTGCTAATACTAAAAGGTGGTGAAGGAAAATCCTCAATTTATGCATTGCAGCACATAGAGTGAGTGATCTCAGCTCACTTCCTCCCAGCACTTGTGAATGGGAATCCACACTGTAGTAGAGCAGCCTGCAGCTGCTGTTGCAGCTCCTGTCCTTGACCTATACCTTGCCAGCCTGGTCCCCACTGGAACCTAGGGAAGCCACCCACACTGCTAGATATACACAGAAATGCAGAATAATCCTCCCCTCATCCAAATAATACGAATAGCCCACAAACAAACATACACACAATCTGTACAGATGTATCCCGCTAACAATCCACATACATGCACACAGCTCCACATGCAGCCTCTCACATGCAATACCCCAAACAGCCCCTCACATACACACACACACTACCAAACACACAATGTGACATTTCCATTCACACACACAACTCTACAAGCAGCTCTCATACACAGCCCACATTCATAGGTATCATACACGATACCATAAACTACTCCTGAACATATACAATATAATAGCTCATACACGCACAAATACAATGATACAAAGCAACTGCAATAAAAATAACACAAGCAGAAGACGGCAACATAGACGCCTCAATTTAAAAATATAGGACCGACACGCTACGGGACATCACAATCTTATATCGGCACAGTGCTGCTAAAAGGTTGCCATCCCTGGTCTAGTTATTAATGCAAGAAAATGTCAGTTGTCCTGGGGTATCTTATTAAAATATAGAAAATTAATCTCCAATCATTCTTATCTATGCTTTATGATTTAAGGGTGCCTAATAAACAGATTTTTTTTTTATATGATTGTTCACTTATGTTTGAAAATAATGCAATAAATATATGCAGAAGTCAGTAATAAATGTTGCTTTTCTTTTCATTGTTTGTATTTTTGTTGGCCCCATTTTATATGCATTCTATTGTTTTAAATTTTGTCAGTTTTTAAAGATCAATTGGAGTCTTTTATCAATAAATGTAATCATATGAACACTACATTTATATCTCAGCTGCAGCTATATTATCCATCTATCTATATTGTATCCACAGCCTTAAAGGGATAGTATAGGCACCCAGACCACTTTAGCTTATTGAAGTGGTCTGGGTGCATTGTCCCAGGTCCCTTAACCCTGCAAAGCTAATTACTGCAGTTTTTAAGAAACTGCAATACTTAGCTTGGAGGGTTAACTCCACCTTTAATGGCTGTCTACCAGACAGCCACTAGAGGGACTTCCGGGCCATTATGCGACTTTTGGTCTCCTAACTGCTGGACGTCTTCACGGATATGTCCAGAATCACCCAAAACATGCGCATAAGGTTTCCCTTGTCGAGTGAGGGGTTTTTAACCGTTTCTGCACTACGGGGAGAAGAGCCTTGTTTTCCCTTCAATGCTCCACCGACATAATACATCAATATATAATTCAGTTATTATGCCACAGCCAATTTAAAAAAAAAAAAAAAATCTCTTCCATTGCCATATTCCATTGACCACCATTGTCACATTTTTCAAATTCACTCACCTTGGGATAGTCCATCTATCCATCCCCTAATTTTAATATTTCTTCAGTTTATTTACTATTTCTCTGTTTTCCACAACTTTCATACTTCCCAGTTTATCCTCATCGATATTCTCTATAATTAACTTTTACATTTCTCTAATCATCCCTTTCTTTGACATTTTGACTCAAATCTCTCTGCATGCCAATATTGTTTTCAAACCACCCACAAATGCCATAAACACATATATAAACCCTGACCCTTCCTGGCTCTAGATATCTGACAACAGATGACTGGGGAATGGATAGATGTAGTGTAGTGTATTCATTCTATATGTATGTAAAGACAGTCTTGTGGACCAGTCTACAAGAAGAAACCAAAGATCTAGATCACAGTAGGCAATCTTTGGCACTACAGATGTTGTGAACTACATCACCAATAATATTCTTATTTCTATAATGCCAGCAAAACATCAGGGGAGATGTAGTCCACAATATCTGGAATGCCAAAACTTGCCTATCTGTGGTCTAGATCAGCGGTCCCCTACTCAGTCCTCATGGACCACCAACAATCCAGGATTTACGTATTTTTAGTCAAATGGAGATACTGACAAAACCTGAACTGTTGGTGGTCCATGAGGACTGGGTTGGTGACCACTGGTCTAGATCATGGCTGAAGCCTCAGTGGAATGCTCATTCCCTAACAGGAACAAATGTATGCATAACTTATCAATTGTGAGCTAAAAAGAAGATATATCGTTGAATATTAATTATATTTTAATATATAAGTGGTAGTTTAGGTACCATTTTTATAATGCATAATTAAAAGAAAAGTTTCTGTGGTACCTATGTTTAAGTCAACATTGCTTCTATGTCCATATTATCCCCAAGGGTAATATAAAATTATCCGTGAAGAATATATCACTTCTTTCTATCTCACGATTCCTCCCAGCCTATTAACCCCTTAAGGACACATGACGGAAATATTCCGTCATGATTCCCTTTTATTCCAGAAGTTGTGTCCTGGCAATGATAAGAAACAGGAATAGACTTTAAAGGATAACAACATTAAGGCCAATTATTCATTTAAATTTTATTGTTGCAAGACATTGAGCTATTTTATACTGTTTAGATACATAAAAAAAACTACAAGAAAAAAATGATAAGGCCAAATAAAATAAGTTTGCAAAGAATAAAAAAATATATTGTCTGGCTGACTAATTTCTATCAAATTGCTAAAACTGAATCTAAGACTAATTTGTAAAAGTTATGTTTCTTTGTTTTTTCCATACTTAGTAATTTGACTTCATTTTCCTTTCTACTAAATATTTTTCTTTTTTTGCACTTGTAACCTTGGCGTGCTCTTCAAATTACCCTGCATGCTTTCGCATCAAATGTTGAAGAATGCCTTACAGATAAGAGTCTTATACATCCTTGAATTAATCTCAAAAACATACAATAAATCCAACGCAGGCGTCTGCTTTTTAGATCAATTACAGCATTATAGATTTTATTGTCCTTCCCAATATGAGCCGAGGGCGGCAGGATGAAAATGTTATTGGATTGCCGTTATCCCAGATACCCTCAGTTTGCTTAATTCAATCTGACTCTCGTTAAAAAGACTTCATAAAAGGCTTTTAGTGCTTCCAACTCGTAGTTTTGTGGTTCTAATATGTACTGCCACATCCACAACTCATGAAAGGTGAGAATTACAAACACATTAAGTGGTATGTAAACTGCTCTATAATAAACATATGGGTCACTTCACTTGTGGGTTCATTTAATGGCTGAAATTAAATCTTGGTGCTAGGCATTCATTTCTTGATACATTACACTGAAAGTGCACTTTCCAATTTTATGCTCCTAAACTACTTTACATTGCCAATGTAAAGACATCTACGAAATGATGGCACTTTTCAAGTATATCTGGGCTGTTAAATATGATGAGTCTCATTTCATTGCATTATTGGAATCAATAAAAAGTAGACTACACATAGGGGTAAGTAGTGGAGAATTGATAAGGATATTAGAAATATTAGGACAAATGAGCCAAATTTCAAAATTAGCTTGATTTGAGAATTTTTCTAAGTTGACAATTTTGGATTAAAATTTTGTAATTGGCTCTCCACCATCATAAAACTCTAGTAGCCATACAATAGACAGGTTGACAGTTCCTTAGGTCCCCACAGTCCAACCCCTTAGTAGGTATCGCTAATGGAGAACTCATTCTTTGTTCATTAATAATGTCAATTTAAACAACGTCAGTCAACAAATTCCATCTAAATAGAGATGAAATTGACATAATTTAGTTGGAAGAGGAACATCTGTTTTTGGTAATCGCTATCTTGATAGCTAATTGCTATCTAAAGTGGGGGCCAGACCAAGGGTGTCCGGGAGATGCATATAAACCATTCAATAACTGTTTGACTACTTGTAGTGACCTGGTGCCAAGAGGCACCCAACCACTGAAGCATGATGAAGTGCCCTTTAAATATCTGTACAGTCATTTTCTAGATCACTTGATCACTTCAATCAGTCCCTCCTAGACAACATAGATTCTTTGTCTTCAGTCTCTGCTCTCCCATAATCAAATGCAGAGACCATAACTCTTCTCTAATCTCCTATTGAAGACAAGGAAATCCTCATGCTTATTAAATCACATGAAAGTAATAAAGTCTCTGGGGCAGATGGGTTTTCTAACTTTTATTAAAGTTTAATGATTTGCTTTTGAACCACTTTACATGCTTTTTTAGAGTGTTCTGGAAGGAACACATTCATACAGAAACCTCCAATGTCTTGACCTAGAGAATTTCTCCACTAATCTCCAAACTCTCCTTTTACCTATCTCAAACCTCACCTGCCCTAGTTCTGCAACCTCCTTCTACAATTCCACCCTCTCCTCTCAACTAGACATCATGGCACCTTGTACATTTAAACGCCGCAGGCCCACCCAACAACAACCTGGCACACCAAGCTCACTCGATACCTCCAAAAATGCTCCATAACTGCTGAACGCTGTTGGAGAAAGTCTCACTGTGCGTCTGACTTTCTCCACTATAAATTTATGCTGAGCTCATACAGCTTGGCTCTTTCCTCTGCAAAAGTTAATTACTTCAATACCCTCATAACCACTCTCTCCCCGAACCCAAACGACTATTTCACACATTTAACTCTCTTCTTCGCCCTGCTGTTCCTCCTCCACCTACTAACTTGACCACCTCAGACTTTGCAACTCACTTCACTGACAAGATCTCTACAATCAGAGAAGAGATCTCTCATCTTTCTTCTTCCCCTTACAATACGTCCCCTAACTTCACTCCCTCTGCTGTTCTATGTTAATTTGCATCCGCTACATTGGAAGAGGTTTCTGCTCTGCTCCAGTCCTCCCGCCCCACTACCTGCTCCCTAGATCCAATTCCCTTGCATCTCATCCGTACTCTGTCTTCTTCTCTTTCTCCACCTCTCACTAAAATTCTCAATCTCTCTCTCTCCTCTGGTATATTTCCATTGCCCTTCAAATATGCAACTGTAACCCCAATTCTTAAGAAGCCCAATCTTGACCCTAACTCCCCATCCAACTATTGACCTATCTCGCTACTGCCTTTTGCATCCAAGATCCTTGAAAAAATTGTAAATTAATAGCTCCTGACTGATTCCTCTTCTGCAGCTGTCATTAGTCTAATACTATCCTTACCTTTTTGTGTCATTTTACCCCACTCCCTCTAGCATGTAAGCTCATTGAGCAGGGCCTTCAACCCCTCTGTTCCTGTGTGTCCAACTTGTCTGGTTACAACTACATGTCTGTTCGTCCACGCATTGTAAAGCGCTGCGGAATTTGACGGCGCTCTATAAATATCATAATAATAATAATAATATAATTTCTTCTTGGCAAACATAACTGTCCTTCCCAAATAACGCAAAAGCCCCACTCCAGTGTTCCAGACTACCACTTTCATTATTAAAAATGGGCATAAAATGACAAGGTAAGATAATGGAGAACTTCCATGGTTCCATGGATAATGGAAAACTTCCATGGTTTAAGTTTCCCCACTTAGAAGTGTGTAAATCCCCTTAGTCAATGATCTGGGTTGACACTGATAATATTATAGTAAGTTTCTGTAAGAAGTTCAAGATATAACTTCCACCTCCACAGCGGTGGATTTATACAGTCAGGGTGCCTAGCTATAGTATAATGTATCCAGTTGTCACAATACTTTCATATCTAGTGGATTGTACCATGTACCTTAAAAGATACAAAGAAATGGGATATAGTGTGACACTGTATGTTTTAATTATCCCAGAATTCCAACCCCTTATTAAAATTATTACACGATAAAATTGTGGTTGTTGTTTCCAATGACCACAAAAAGAGCATAAGACAGCAGTTTACAGTTAAGCAGTGTGTTCGATGGTTTTACCACTCCATCGAGGCAGCTGGTTCCAACAAGTTCCTGAGTGCAAGCCACAATATATAGATTCCGAACCTGGAGGGACACCAAGATGAAACACCGCTGAAGTAGTCTGTGTTAGGTGGTATGCGTTCAGGCTAGTCTCCAATCTACATGTTTTGCCCGTGCTTAGCGGGCTTTTTCAAGATAGAGAGGAAACAACATTGGACAGTCCTTATATACCCCTTATGTCTTATTTCCAAATAGTTTTTTTAAATACATAGTTACTATTAATCCTGCTGTGGCAGGACCTGTTGGGATTCAGATGTGCAGGCTTACAAGAATACCAGAAGGGTGTTGGATATAAGATTGCAAGCTCTTTTGAGCAGTGTCCTTATCAATCCATTGTTCCTGTAACACATTGTATAGTTAAATTTCCACATTTATAATATTGTAAAGCATTGCAGAATACTTTGGTGCTATATAAATGTTGGTGATAATAATAAGTTCCAGTGTGTTATACATTATTATTATTTTCTGTTCCTCTGTTTGAATGTAGAGAAGGTTTTTGTGATTCTCTGCCTATTTTTTTTGAAGAGGTGAAATCCATGTACACTTTCTCAAAGAACAATTACTGGTGCAAGAAGCTCCTTTGATTTGTATTCAGATACACAACAAAACCAGGCAGGGTCAATAAATATCACTAAACCCTAACCCTGGTTATTATGTTTCTGGACCATACATAATTATACATCGTTGATACATGTTTAATTCAGATATTGGATTCTATGTTTAAATACTTAATTAGAACTAATAAGAAAGATCTGGAAAATTGGGCTCAATATACAATTTCATGGACTCAAATACATAGCATAAAAATGAACCTTGTGTTTCAGAAATGTCAAGTGAAGAATCCCTAAATTATCGGTAGAAGACTTGCAGTCATGGTTTTTCTCACTATTATATAATGGACGGTGGAAGAGAATAGAGTGGAATAATACCAAAATCTTACACTTTAAATATCATTATAAATGAACAGAGGAAAGAAATGCTACCTTAATATAGTTTCTGTAATTAATCATTCCTGCTCTGTTTGACAGTGCTCGGAAGAAAATTACATTGTGTTTTTTTAAAGAACATTTGACAAATATGCTTTCCTGAGCAATCAATAGTTACCACATTTGTCATTTTTCTTGTGCTTTATATACAGTATATTATGTTAAAAGTAAACAACCAATATTGATTGGTAACGGTATAT